AACCAGACCGCTAACAGTGTTTGAAAATCAGAAGACGAAAAGTGTTAGAAGTCATAAAAAGACCACTGTTGAAATTTTTATGCAATTTGTAGTATAATCATTCTTTAATTTTTAGCAAGAAATTGACGAAAATAGGAAACAAATAAAGAGGCTAGGGATTCTAAAGTTAAGTTGGCAATATATTTTATCACATAAAGTCTGTTTTTTAATGGAAATGTCGAACAGTCGTAATTTAAAAATAATTTTATTAAATGTTAGAAAAAATTGTCCAAGAAAAATTTCTAGGCGAAAACACAAAAACGAGTCTGCTAACAGTGTTTGAAAATCAGGACACGAACAGTGTTAGAAGCCATAAAAAGACCACTGTTAAAATTTTAATACAATTTGTAGTGCAGGTTTGCTAAACATTCTTTAATTTTTAGCAAGAAATTGACGAAAATAGGAAATAAACATGAATGAGAAAGAACGCAATTAAATTTTTGTGTATGTTTGCACCGTTTTTAAGAAATGAGTTGAAATAATAACAATTTTGGAAGTAAAGCTGAAAAAGAATTTAGAAGATGCAACTTCGAGCTCATTTCAATAAATTATACAAAATTTATTCCTAGTATTCATAATAATTGCTTGTGTCTTTTGAAAGAAATAATTTTCTTTTTCTATAAACATCTTTTTTTTTTATTAGAGTTTTTGTAGCATGAAGCTCTTTATTACCCACAAAATTCTAGTTACTTGCAATATGTTTCGATCAATATTATTATGACTGAATCCTCTCTTTAGACATTAACTAATGATGTCTGTTCTCAGGTATATAGCGCTTTCAAAAAGCAGAGGCACAAAATTTATAAAAGTCAAAATTTTGACAACATTTGAACATAAAAACGCAAATATAATTTTAACAAAATTTTAAAAGACAAAAATAAAAAGCAAACAAAATTTGTGACTATGGAGATAATCTGCTACCAATTTTTTTTACTAAAAATCCAAAATTTTGAAATGGTGAGTTTCGTTCAACAATCAGACTATACATTTTTAGTTGCAACTACAGGGTAATTTTGAGGTATGTACCAATATTTTAACAGGTGATAGTAGTAAAAGAAGTCAAAATAACTCAACTTGCCTTATCCGAATGTTTATAGTTTTTGAGATACAAAAGGTTTTGTTCGTTGAATAAATTTAAATTTGCGGCGCAGTCTTGAACTTCACCAACTTAAATTGTAAACAAATATTATCCCTAAAGTTAGCTCTTCACAATCTATAACATTGTTTAACAAAAAACAGTTAAAACTAGCAAAAACAGACACAGAAAAAAGTGTGCTTATCTAAAAAAATTCAAATCAACTTTCTTTGTTGAAGATATCACCCAATTTCATTATCTCAAATATTACAATGTAAACTTTGGAATAAAGTACTTAAAAGGTTCAAAAGTCGTTGATGTTTGATATTTTTTTTAACGCCAATGTAGATTCTTATCCTCTATATACTCAGAAACTATTAACATTCCAATAAGGAAAGTTAAGTTATTTTTTTGAGCTCTACTATTGCCTGTTAAAATATTTGCGCATACCTCAAAATTTCTCTGTATTTATTAATGACAAGTATAACACATTTATGTGCACTTTTTGAGTGATTAGACGATGCAGTTGGTTTCTCAGCAATTTTTCATTAAAATTGTAATTAGATTTTCTGTTGTATGTTGTGTCTAACGTTTTACCACAATTTCTAGAGCAATCGAGAAAAATTCCAAGGAGGCAAATGGAGTTTTTGTGCGTTATTAAAAGTTTTCCCTCGATGAGCATGAGTGTTTTCGCAAGGTTTGACTCTGTTTTGAAACAATCCAAGTGTATTTTGGCTGTCTGCTGACTTTCAGACAATTACACCTCTCGTTTATATCCCGATCCAAAGTTGTGTTTGGTAAATTAAAAGCAAACTCCGTTGTAAATAATTCCCTTGTTTCTATTAACGGAAGAAACAATTCGTGAAGCTTTAACTAAATTTCTTTAGCTTGCGACTCTTTTATTATGCATCCTCTCCAGCCAAACCGCAAGTTGGTGTTTTTTCCCTCTTGTAAATGTGCGAAGCCTGTTCGATGACGACGAGTTAATTAATAATTTCATTGTGAAGGTTGCTGCCATGCAGAAAACTTCGAGAAACCTTACAGGCATTAAACGCCGCAGACAAAATAAAATCACTTTCCATTATACAAAGCAATAATGGCTGTATTACGTGCCGGTCAATCAAAGATTAATAAAAAATTTGAAATTACACCGGCTATTGTAATTGTCTGTCGAACATGAAAGCCAATTGAGATGGAACTTTAATGGAAAGTGCTCCATTACGTTTTATGCCCGATTCCTTTTTTTCCCTCTCGCAGGGAGAGCACTCGAGACTTACACACATAACGGCATTAAAGCCGTTTTTATGTTCGTAGTCATAAAATGTTTGAACAGGTGATTCGCAGGGAGGAAAAATTCTAGTCTCCGAAATCATTAATAATAATAATAATAAATTTATTCATGTGTTACAATTATTGTTTACATTCGTCACTACACTACACTATTTAACAAAATTATAACAAACATTCACTGAGCATAAACTCATCCAAGCGGTAAAAGGCTTTTTGCAAAAGAAAAGCTTTAATTTTTGTCGAGAAATGTTTAGGGGGTAAAGCAATTATATCCGGTGATAATTTATTAAAAAACATAGGTCCGTAGTAATTTTGAGAATTTCTAATTTTATTATTCTAGTAAAGTCTACATTTAACTTACTTTTGTTTCTGAGGTTATACTGATCTCGGTCTATAATAACGAAGATACCGCTTGAATTTTTTTACAGTTTGATAATACTGTTAGGTTATTGATATTGTTGTTTGGAGGTGGTATATTATCAAAAATTAGTCTGGGAATATTAGTGAAATAAGTATTTAACATATTACTGGTTAAGTTTGATTTCACTTGTGTTTTCGAATTTCCGAGTTTAGTGTTAATTAAGCACCATGCACCTTTTGATAAATTTGAGTGACTTGTCAAGTATTTTGCATTAGCCTGTTTTTTGCCTCATTAATTTTAGTTCTATAATTGAGATAATATTGTGTGAGTATTTTATTCTGGGGTTGATTTTGTTTCATTTCGTGCAAAAAATTTTGATGATTCCTGATGTTTTTAAGTTCAATATTAAACCAATTAATTTAATAATAATTTTTAAATGAGTTTTGCTAATACATTTACTTCTCAGAGAAAATAGTCCGGTCAAAATAGACATTTCAAATAACTAAAATTCCGACAGAGCTAAATTTTGGTGGAGATATTGAGTACACCATTAGGAATAAAATGTCAAAAGTTCCCATCGATCTCATGTGTGCTAAAAAAGTTACTCGGGGTCAAAGGTCAAAATTTGACGTTTTTTAGATTTTTTTCGAAAACGGTAAGTTTTATCAAAAAAGTAGCCCAGACAAAAATTATAGATCTTAAAATTATATACAAAATTGGTCGTTATACTTTTTTCTAAGAATCACCATTCCTGAGATATCGCGATTCTAAAAGTAAAAGGAGTCACATTCTACATGATATGCACATACAGAGTGCGCCAGAACTCGCGCCCCAAAGAAAAATGCTATGTAGGGTAAGGTACCAGGAACGTGAAAAAAAAAATTTTGAAAATTCTATCTATAAAAATTTCGAAGTTATGAGAGTTTAAATTTTGCACTTTGACTCTATTTCTGTAGGATAAATAATTTTCCACGTTTTTTTGCTACAGGCTATTAGAAGCGGAAACAAGGAAGCTGTATCCTAAACTGTAACTCTGTTTAATGTTATTTGTGGCTTTTGTTGGCAAAAGTTTTGTACCTTTACTAAATAATTGTAAAAAAACATATACAAAATCATCAGTATCATTAAATAGACATAAAAAATGTCAAATGTCAAAAATTTTTGACAGATAAACAGATAACATTTTTTCCATGTTTCTGGTATCTTATCTTACTTGAAATTTTTCTTTACTTCATTAAAGTTATAAATATCTTGATTCCATTAGAATTAAAAAGAATTTATTTGGTAATACATACAGGGTTTTCAAAAAACGCGCATTTCCTTGACAGGGAGCAATTGGATAGTCCCCAGAATAATGAAAAAATTAAAAAATTCTATCTGTCAAAAAATTTTGACACTTATTTTTTGACATTTGACATTTTTTTATGTCTATTTAATAATACTGATGACCTTGTATATGTTTTTTTTATAATTATTTAATAAAGGTACAAACATTTTGTCAATAAAAGCCACAAATAACATTAAACAGAGTTACAGTTTAGGATACAGCTTCCTTGTTTCCGCTTCTAATAGCCTGTAGCAAAAAAACGTGGAAAATTATTTATTCTACAGAAATAAATAAGTGTCAAAGTGCAAAATTTAAACTCTCATAACTTTGAAATTTCTATAGATAGATTTTTTTTTAATTTTTTCTATGTTCTTGGTACCTTACCCTACATGACATTTGTCTTTGGGGCGCGAGTTCTGGCGCACTCTGTATGTGCATATGGTGGACCCAAGGTTTCCACCAAAATTTAGCTCTGTCGGAATTTTCGTTATTTGACCACTATTTTTATGACTAATTTGACCGGACTAAAAAGCCTCTTTAATGTTATTATTCAAGATTCTAATAAAATTTTCAAATTTATCGGCAGTATCTATGTTAGGAGAGTCAATAAAGGACCAGTTAATATTATCGAGAAGACTATACAGCTTACACATGCCTATCTGAGTAAAAGGTCGAAAGATGATCGTTCTATCACTTTCGTTATTTGTTTTTTTTTTTTAATAAATGTCTATAGCCTTGTGGTCGGAAAGGCTGTGAGTTAGTACATTAGTTTTATATGGGCATTTCAAATTCGTTATCACGTTATCCAAGCAGTTGTCAAGACGCGTGCTGACAGTGCTAGTTGCTTTTAATCCAAATGAGGTGATAAAATCCTGAAATTGTAAATTTTGAATTGTGTTTTTTTTGAAATGGATGTTAAATTCGCCCAAAATAACTACTTGACGATTTAAAATTTTTAAATAAGAAAATATTTCATTCAAAATATGAATGAAATTCTCAAAATTACACAATGGACTTCTCTACTAAATTTAGAAATGTCAATTTTTTCAAAAAGAGTTCTTTGTTTTGCCAGAATTACTGTACCCCCATGTTGATTTAATTGTCTGCCAAAACCTGAAGCGAGTTTAAAATCTGTAATATTTAACATTTCAATTTCATTATAATCTAAGCAATGCTCAGTTAGACATAAATTGCCTATGCAGCGGCCGTCTTCGGTGCGTGATCCTCAAGTGGTAAGTGGCGGTGGTGAAGGCGGCAAGTGGTGGCACAACATCACCACAGACAGCGGCCAGACGTCTCTTCAAGTCAATGACCGTTTGCAGTACAGCGACACCGATGATGTCCGCGCAACCACCGGTTAATCTCCTGCTGGATTGACAAAGCATCAAAGGCAGGTTACTTCTTCATATACGCTCGTTTAACAGCCGACAGAGACGCATCTTATTAAGGAAAAGAGGGATGGAAATTGGACGGCCGCCACACAAGGACGAGACTGGAATTGAATAAAGGACAAAAGTGGATTTTGCTATATTAGCATAGTCGGTTTTAATTTAAAGATGGGGGGAATCGGAGATGCTACAGCAGTAGAATATTAGCTTAATCGGTCTGGATTCTTTCTAAGGACTAGAAGAGATCAAGACGAAATGGAGATTTCCACAAAGTTTAGCAACTTGGAGCTATTTTATTCTAGGGCAAATATTTAACCAAACGATTTCAATGATAATAGAATGTTATTACGATTTGGGTCTTTGAGGCACATCTACAAATTACACGGTCCAACAATTTTTTCTATATGAAATATCAATAACTACATTTTGAGGATATTACTTAAAGTTAAGGTTTAGTTTAAAGAGTAAATTTCAGATTTTTTAATCAGAAAAAATATTTTGAATTTTGTCCATATACGCAGTCCTTAGTGGACTACTTTTTTTCTTGAGTATAATTTCAGTTTTTCACATAAAAATATATACAAAAATTGTGACAAATATCAATTTCTAAGATGATTTTTGACTTAAATTAAGCAAAATAACTGATTTCTGATACTAATGTTTTCTGAGCTTTTGGTTTTCAAGCTAGTTTTTAAAAGGTTTTTTTGTAAAAGATTGATCATAAGAACGCTTTTCAAAAATGAATGTAATAATTTCTGCATTATATTAAAAAAAATAAAAAATATCAATAATTTTTAAGAAAAATTTTGTTACAAACTGAGATTTTTCTTAAAGTGCTTCAGAAAACGGTTAAATCGTGAGAAAACAATTTTTTGAGTTCTGTTATTGTGAGGTTTCTGATGAGGTAATCCATATTTTCAGACAATGTTCCTGAGAAGGGAGGTCAAAAAATAAAGAACATAGAAAAACAGTATTATTCAAACTCATGTTTTATCTTTGACTTAGAAAAATATGATCAAATGTTGTTCAAAGAAAGATAAAATTTTGACGCTGAGGTTTCTTGAGTTTTTTTTAAATTTCTGAAACAGAGTTTTTTCACTGAAATTAAGAAAACTTTGAGCAAAATAACTGATATCTGATACTGATGTTTCCTGAACTTATGGTTTTCTAGACAGTTTTTTAGAGATTGATGATGAAAAAGCTTTTCAAAAATGAAGCAATAATTTCTGTGTTATATTCAAAAAAATTAAAAATATCAATAATTTTTAACAAAAATTTTGTTAGAAACTGAGATTTCTTTTAAAGTGCTTCAGAAAACGTTTAAATCATAATACATTGTCTCCTGAGAAAATAATTTTTTTGAGTTCTGTTATTGTGAGGTTTTTGATGAGGTAATCTAATCTAATCTAATCTAATTATGTTCGTGAGAAGGGTTGTCAAAAAATAAAAAACATAGAAAAATAGTAATATTTTGGCCCATGACTTGACTTCGAAAAATATGATCAAATTCTGTTCGAAATTCTTTAAAAAAAGATTTTCTAAACAATTTCTGAAACAGTATTTCTTCTAAGAGATTTTCCTGAGAGGTTTTTTCAATAAGAGCAAATAACTTCTACATTTTATACAATTTTTACAAAAACTTAAAACAGAGATTACCAATGTTCCTGAAAAAGACGGTCAAAAAATAAAGAAAATAACCTATCCTTGATTTAAAAAATATGATCAAAAAAATCTAAACCTATCTTGACAATGAGGTTTGCTGTGTTTTTTGACAATTTCTGAGACAATCTTTCTTCACAGAGAGTTTCTTAAGAAGTCTTTTCAAAAAAATATAATAATTATATAATATAAATAATTTTATACAAAAAAATCAATAAATGAGTAATTTTTAGTTGTAATAATTTGAGTTTATTAGAAATTGTGATAAAAAATAAAAAATTATATTAAAATGCTTCCAAGAAACGGTTAAATCTTGGTATCAGTGTTGCCTCAGAGATCATTTCTTTAAATTTTATTAATTAAAACGTAGTTTCTGGAACAATATTTATTCTCAAACAATGTTCCTGTGCAAGACGGTCAAAAAATATAGAAAAAAAAACTCATGTTTCATCTTTGACTTGAAAAAATATCAAAAAAATTCAATTCTGTTCAAATTTTTTCAAAAAAAGATTAAATCTTAACAATGAAATTTGCTGAGTTTTTCCAAACAATTTCTGAGACAGTCTTCCTTTCCAGAGAGTTTCCTTAGAGTTCTTTTTAAAATTTCTACATTTTATTTAAAAAAAATCAAATAATGTAACAACTATTTTAAAAAACATAAACTACATTCTTTTTTTGTTTCAAAGGAGGATGTGGGTGTTGGACGAAGAAAAAACTCAGGCAATTTTACACCAAACTGCGAATCAATTTTTGATCTGATTTCGTGTCAGATTTCACTTATTTTTGCATTTCTTGTGTTAAAAAAGCCTTTGAATAGTTTTTGAAAGCAACAGTTGGAAATTTTTGCACGGTGTGACATGCAAAAGCGTGGATTCCGTGCAAAGTCTTTCGTTAGTAGTATTGCTAATGCAAAAGAGTGGTTTTGATTCAATTAGGGTTTTCCGGCGGTAGTTAAATCGCCCAAGTTCGGCGAGTTAAAAAGCTAATTGAAGTCGACCCTGTCTGGAGTCGGTCTCGCCATCACCGATCTCGATTTTAATAGAAAAGCTACAATATCCTTATTTCAAGCGTCATACAAGAATTATAAACCGGTAAAAGCTTGTGCGGAGCCGGTGAAAACGCAATAATACTTGTTTCTTCTCACTTTAACTTTCAAGGGAAATTACACTTCATGCATTATTAGTGGAGCGTTATGGCCTCCGAACGGCGGCGTTCGGAAATGATAAAGGTTTTATTCTGATCGAATTTTCCTTCAAACTAATAGGAAAAATCGCGCCGCTTGCTTAAATATTCCAGCGCACTCGAAAAAGAAAACAGAAACGCTCGGGAATTACAATGCAAAAGCCTTTTGGTCGAGTCGAGGAGAGGGCTTTTGTTGGTTTTTTAGCGACTGAAAACCGCACGGCATGTTTTGCTTCGAATGTGCTTTGTGCGGATTACCTTCGACGGCCTTCAGTCTGCGGCGTGTGGCTTTACTCCGCAGAGCTGAGGAGATACCCAAGCGACAGCACATAATCGAACTCTTATTACCCAACTCCAACTTTTCATTTTACTCGACCACGCCGGATGGAATTACAACGCCAGACGAGAAATCCTAAGAAAAACCAAAGAAAACCAAGAAATTCCAATGAACTGTTTTGAGGTTTTAATGTTTTAGCTCTTTTTAACCCTTAAACTGCTCTAAACGTATATCTACGCCGAGTGGTTCGCTGCTCGAACCGTATATCTACGAAATTACTTTTAAAATGTTTTAAAAGCATATAATGACTTATTTTGAAATTATATTAGTTTCTTAATATAAAAAGACCATAAATCCATTGCTAATTTAATTTTTTTTTCTTTGGTGTTGTTAACTGCTCTAAATGTATTTATACGCGGTAACTGTTTAATGCGTTCTTAGAAACCTATGGGACGGATTCATTTTTTTCATAAAAATATGTTCAAAAGTTGTGTTCTGCGATATTAGCACGAAAAAATGAGTGATGACTTCTTACAAGCGAAATTATTTTAATGCTTATACAATTTTTTAGGTTTGCTTTTTATTGTTACAGAACAAATGTCTTTTTTGCATCAACAATATAAAACAAATTTTTACTGATCAAGAGCTAAAGTAAATTTTTGCTAAAAACGGTGACAAAGTATTATTCTGTTCAAGAAATTGATAATTTTGATTATTACGTTTTGTCAAAACAATTAGGAGTATTTAAAAAACTTATGGGGAGTAATAAGGTTTCTGTACTCTTAAAATATTGCACTGAATAAAACAAATTACCTTTACTCTAAATTTTACAAATACAGACTTGAAAATTTTTCTAAGAATTTGAGAATTTAGCAGTAAACTGCGCAAAACGCATTTCTATGCAATAATATTTAACCGCTCTAAACGTATATATACGCACTACCCAAAATATGTGCGCACACAGCGCAAGGATTATAAAACTAATATTGCACTTTAAGGGTTAAAGATCATTTTTCGGTCCAGTTTACTTTTTTAAACATTTCTTTTCTGTTTAAATTAATTTGGTAAAAGTATATAATATGATCAAAAAATATAAATATGTCCTGACAATAAGGATTACTGAGTTTTTTGACAGTTTCTTTTTTCACAGAGAATTTACTAAAAAGCTTTTTCAAACTAAATGGACTAATGTTATACAAAACAATCAATAAATGAATAATTTTTACTTATAATAATTTGAGTAGAAATTGTGATAAAAACAAAAAATTATAAAATGCTTCCAAGAAACGGTTAAATCTTGGTATCAGTGTTTTCTCAGAGATCATTTCTTTAAATTTCATTTATTAAAACGTAGTTTCTGGAACAATAGTTATTCTCAAACAATGTCCTGTGCAAGACGGTCAAAAAAAGGAGGAAAAAAACCCACGTTTTATCTATGACTTAAGAAAATATTAGCAAAAAAATCCAATTCTGTTCAAATTTTCAGACAATTTCTGAGACAGTCTTCCTTTCCAGAGAGTTTTTTGAGAGCTCTTTTTAAAAATATACAATAATTTCTACATTTTATTAAAAAAAAATCAAAAACATAAACTACACTTTTAAAAATCATTTTTCGGTCCAGTTTACTTTTTTTTAAACATTTCGGTTTCTGTTTAAATTAATTTGGTCTAATCGATAATTTGTCTTTGGGGATGAAACAAATTTTCGTGTTTGAAAATATCTAAAACTCTGCAATAAGAAATGAAAAAATATACTTTTAAATCAAAAATTACCAAATGAAGACTACAGACCACTATTTTTCTATATTTGGTTAAAGCATTTAAAGTGAATTGAATTTTTGTTGCTTCTTTTATTTTTGTTACACTTTTGTTTGCTTTATGACTTTTTATCAATAAATGATAATAATAAATTTTTGGTTTGATCACTCAAATTTTATTGCTTTTTTTTTAAACATTTGTCTTCTATTGAAGTTATGTTTGGCCTAATCGATACTTTTCAGTCTTAAATTGTTGAGGCAAAAATATTATTTTATTATTATTTTTGAAGAAATGTCCTTTTTAATAAAAAATATTCAAATGAAGACTACATGATTCTATAATGGCAAAAAAATAGCGGGACTATTTTTAATGACGGTAAACGAACTGTCTTCTAAGAGTATTACCCAAAAGTACCTAAAGTTGATTGAATTTTTGTTACACTTTTATTTACTTTTTAACTTTTTATCATTTATTTT